TCACACTTATATGAAACGTATTAATAAATTTGTTTAAAAAATCGATGATTTAATGTTTTGTATGCATTTGTGTGTATCCGTAGTCTCGATCAGTATGTTTGGAACAAACATAAACTTTCTTAAGTTTCGGTCTTTAGTTTACTTTAAACGCTCGTCCTGTAAACACGTAAAGAATTTATCGTCTTCGAATACGAACAGCTAAGTGATCATTTAATAAATTAAATACCTTTTTTAACAAATCAAATTAACACATACGTTTAATAATACGTTAACCTCCTGCACGTACTAAACACACACACACACACACACTTAATAATATTTAGATATACATCATACACATATACTCATGCATACCTTCAATATTATCACTAAATATATCCTGTAAATGTACATACATACATACATAAATTAACATATATGAAATAAATTAGGGAAAAAACAATCAATAAATTTTGAAAAGTCGTAAAGAATAAACGAACACAACATAAAATTCATTTGTAATTGAAATGTTTCAGTTCCGTTTCAATACTCATTTTATTAACACGCATATAATTTACGAAAGTGTTTAATAAGATTGGTATGTATTTTATAAATTTATAATTCAATTTTACACACACACACACACACAAATACATATTTAAAAGGATTATTGTTTTTTTTTATTTTTACTTTCAAATTCGATGAATTCCAATCTACGAGAGATAAATAGAAACAAAAAAGTATGAATCTTATTTTCGTAATATAGAACTGTTGTAACTTAGAATCGTTTAGAAGTTAGAACGACATAGTTGAAAGGATGGAATAGAGTGAGATAGGATGCGTTGCGAAAGGACACAGCCGCAGCGGCGAATTCGTGAACATCAAACGAATTAAATCTCCTCCGAGAGTCGACCGCAGAAACTAATATCTCGTCTCGAAAACCGTTCTCCGTTCTTCTTCCGTTCGTTCGCCGACTCCTTCTTCTTCTTCTTCTTCTTCTTCTTCATCGTCGTCGTCGATTTTCGACTTCGTCCTTCTGCTGATTTTTACTGGTGCCGAAGGACGAGAATATTTTTCGATCCTTATCGATATTTTTCTCACTCTGCTACCGTGATACACACCTTTCTTTCTTTCTTGCACCATCTTTGAAATTAAGTTAATTTACGGTTTTTTTTTTTCTTTTTCCGTCCAATCGTTTCTCAATTTATTTATTGTATAATATTTATCTTATTTAATAATCTTATTGGATTATTGGTCTATAAATAATATTCGGAAAGTTTTTTTGCAATAGAAATATATTACCGGTTTTTTTTGTATTTAGATTTAAAATATTAAAAATTCATGAAGAAATGAAACAAAAAATTAGGTAACGTTTAAATTTTATTTACTTAAATAAGAAATATTTCAAATTTGGAATAAATAATATCCATGTTATTTATTATTTTATATATTAATTATTACAAATTCCGATATTATCGATCAAGGCAAATTAATTCGTTAATTGTGACTGAAGTAAAATATATTTTTCTACAATTATTATTATTATTATTATTATTATTATTATTATTATTATTATTATTATTATTATTATTANTATTATTATTATTATTATTATTATTATTATTATTATTATTATTATTATTATTATTATTATTATTATTATTATTATTATTATTATAAAAAATGAATAATTGTATTGTCGTATAAATGAGGGATTGCAATAGTAATCTATTTTTAAATTTGTTAACGCGTGTTATATGGCAAATGAGAAGACATAGAGGAATTTCAGTATCTGTCTGCTGTCGTTAAAAGAGAAAAAAAAGTAACAAAACAAAAATATGAACAAAACAAAATAGAAAAACCAAATGATCGCTCGGCTTTCAAATTTTTTTACGTGTCTTTGCGGTCGAAAGGAAGGTTCGACTGTTGCTATAACTGCGCGAAAACCACCGTGCACCATCGACTTCCTTCGTCACAGTATCCTTTCGAGTGGGGTCCTCCCTCATCGTATTTTTCCTTTCATTTCGTCGAAATACAATTTTCGAAAAGGCCACGTGAGGCCACTTTGAAATTTGAAGTTCGAAATTGGCAGTCGATATTAGATACTTTATTATTGTACTTGAAACAAATAACAGGAATTCGAGTATTATATTCAAATATTTTAATACCTTATTATGAATCAACAATAATACTAAWTTATACAGTAATTGATTTTTATTATAATTTTAATTTTTTACACTTAAATAATAAATGAAATAATAATTGTTAATTAGTTTTTGTGAAATCAATAGAAGAAAGCAGTAATATTATTAATTGTAAAATTAATTATTTGACTTGTCATGATTCGTTTATAATCAAATTTTATCTATTCCACTTATATATTTTTTAACTACTAAATATAGAAAAATTTTAATATCAACAATTTATTTATACTATAATTTAAAAGATAATTGGTTTTTCTAAAAATTTGATATACTCCTTTAAAATTTAAATAAATTATATTTATAATTATCATAAAATCAAATGAAAAGCGGTAATATATAAAACGCAGTATATCATTTAGAAAAAAATAAAGAAAAAAATAAATAAATTATATACTTGACCTCTCGTATTACGTTTATCATAAAATTATTCTATTCAACTCGTATACTTATAAAAAACAAAATAAAAAAGATTTTATCTCTTCGCAAATCTTCGAGGAAAGTTATCCGGATTAAGAATGTAATATTGAGAAGAGATCGTTAAAGATCTCCAATACGCAAGCCACTACTACAACAACAACCTACGGGCTAATGTAGCTGACACGAGAGAAGAATTTCCTTTGAGAGAAGATACATTCATTCTACACTAGTCGAGAAAGCTAGATTATGGTAGTCATTTTCATTGAACATGGTCCAACAACGTGAACATTTTACCAATATGAAACAAAACGTATAAATAGAAAAAAAAATAGAAACACAGAGTGAAAGAGTGAGAGAGAGTGAGTGAGAGAGAGAAAATCGATGGAGTCTCTTTATTCAAGCAAAATGATTTTTTCGAGGGACTGTACGAGTCTGGTTGCGCAGGTGTGACCGATGGCGGCGGCCTTTGATCCTGGAGCGACTCCTCGGCTACTTTGTCCACGACTCATCGCGTTCGTCCGCCCTTTTACTATCTTTCTCTTTCTCTGTTTCTTCTCTCTTTTTCGTCATTCGCTTCGATTACTTCTCCTAACGGACAACGCCTTTCGCGAATACGGACGTGTTGCACGTTCACCTTTCTTCATTTTTGTTTAACATCCATCCATTTTTTGTTTCGAGTTATCATCCTTTGACAAGGAAAATATCATTGTCATTTTGAACGAAAAAGTAAACTTTTTTTCTTTTTAAGTTTTTTAATATAACTTAAGGTTTCATTTATATATTTATCTGATTTATATCAAGTATCGAATAATTTGCAAATTATTGTATTGAACAATACGTTATCTGTTACGTTATTTCTTTTTGGTGATGGTTGTAAACGAAGAAAATAATTATTCTATGGTTTTGTTAGAAAATTTTATGAGAGAGAAAGAGAGAAAACATTTATATGAATAATTTTTGTATAAGTATTTATGCACGGAAACAATTTAGGTATGGTAATTGCACAAAACATTGTATCAAAGTGATAAATGATACGAACTTTGTTAAATAATTTATTACGGTGATTTATAGGAAAAATTATTCTGCGTTTTGTTTAGACAATTTTGATAGTCATTTATGATCCGAGAAATTTGAACGAATGATAAAGAGAAATTTTGTAGATAATTCGTGTGGAGAACGGTTGAGTTAATTTGATTAGAGATTTTAACGAGTGATAAAGAAAGATCGTTTATATGAATAATTTTTAGATTGGTATTTCCTTTTATGGAAATATTTCGTTTATTTATGATTACAGAATATAATACAGTTGTGATAAATAATATAATCTTTATTAAGAGATAATTTTTTGAGTTATAATTAATTAAGATATATCATTTATATTTAAGAACAACTTTCATATAGAAACTCGTATCCGGAAACATTTCGTTTAGTAATTACAGAACTTGATGTGTGTGCTAATAGGTTTAAAAGTAACATTACAGAATAATAACCCATAAAGTTAATTATTTCTTATTTAAATAATAAAAACTAAACAATAATTGACTATGAGTTTTTTTGACTAATAGCTGTGATCAATAAAAAGTATTCTGATAAAAAACATTATGTTTTGTAATTAATTAATGAAATGTTTCCTGATATATCGTGGTTTAACATATGAAAGTTGTTTAAAATGATCTCGTAAATCATTTATATAAATTTCTAATGAAACTATTGAACGAAAGTACACTATAATGTATTCAATTTTGCTGATAACGCACTCACAGAGTATTTTTGTTTATGTTTTTTTTTTTCAAATAGATTATCTTTTAAACATTGAAAAAAATTTCTATTCTACAACTATGAGAAAAAAAAGAATTTCACCTTCTTCTTCGAAGTTCTTTTCGTTCACCCCTATCTCTATCTCACTCACCAAATTCCAAGAGGATAGAACACCGGAACGAATGCGTAATACGATTTTTATGGAGAAGTAGCTTGACATGTCTTGAAAATGCATCTGATTTGTGACTCGTAGGTTAAAAATAATTTTAAAAGGGAACAGATCAAGAGAAATAGAAATAGAATTAGTAATTCTATCATTTTCTCTAATCTCTCACCTACATATTTTTATAAAATAGAAATAACTTTTGATATTTATCTAGTTACTATCAATTATAAATTTATGTTCAGTATTTTAAACAAAATAAATTCTTTTACAAAATACTGTGATAAACAAAATATTAAAAAATATTCGTTCCAGTAAAAAATATTTACTAAATAAATAACTTGAATAAATTCAACATACATTTTTATATTACATTTTTCAAAGAAATATATTTAAAAAAAAAAAAAATACTTTGAAAACTGTTAATCTTGTTCAAAATTTCAATCTTAATTATTTATTATTTTCCTTTTCTGTTACAGAACAAGCGAATCACTTAAACTTGTTCAACAATCGTCAGCAACCGAAGAAAAAACGTAAAAGTCGGACAGCGTTTACGAATCAACAAATCTACGAGTTAGAAAAACGTTTTCTTTATCAGAAATATTTGAGTCCAGCTGATAGGGACGACATAGCACTTAAATTGGGTCTGAGTAATGCCCAAGTGATCACGTGGTTCCAAAACAGAAGGGCGAAGCTTAAAAGGGACATGGAGGAATTGAAAAAGGACGTGCAAACGGTGAATCCACTTTTGGTTGCTCAACACCATAAAACTTTTCTGGAGAACGTGCAAGATCTTGGAATCTTGAAGAAACGACCACTACCAAGTTCGATGGAAGAAAAATCGTAGAAGAAGAAAAATAAAAAAAACATTTTTCTCTATACGTTATTTTTCATAGAAACCATCGCGAATATAGGAAAATGAATTTTTTCATTAATTTCTTCGCTGAAGAAAAATAGTATGGGAATATAAACCAACGAGTGGGATGATCGTTCATTTAACGAAATTATTTCGAGAACGTGAAAGAAACTATAATGAACTTCGATATAATATAACAGACAATTTCTTCGATATTATTACTATATTATCGATTTCCCGAGTAATCTTTTTTAATATTTTCTTTTCCTTTTTTTTTTCTTTTTATCATGGTCATTATGTGTCGAAGTAGGATTATTTAAAAAAGGGCTTCTCAAACTTTTCCACTTGGTGATCATCATATCATAAGTATTTCTTAACCCTGAATATAAACTTAATACTATCATTTATTTCCATATCATAAATTCACAGATATATTATAAGCATAGAATTGCTATACTCGTTTCTAATAAATTTTCGATATTTTGCTTTATCTAGGATTTGTTGAGTTTTGTTTAAATTTCTACAACACCATAATACCAAGTCGTAATTTATACTTTGAGAAGCCCTAATTTAGAATTATGAGTGTATGGTCACGTGAATAGATATTTACAATTATTCGAAGACTCTAAATAAGAAAATAAACTCTAAAGTATATTTAATTAGATATACAATTGTCATATTTATTTGTATCAAATTTGTGATTATTTAGTTAAACTTTGGAAATGTTATTATCTTATTCTCTATACATTCGTAAATATATTTAATACCTACAGGTTCTAATAAAGGGAAGAAGAAAAAGAAAAAGATTAGATATTAGAAAAAATATTAAAACAAACTTGGGAAATTCAGTATTAATAATAAAGTCTCGAATGTAATTACGTTAACGTCACATGTATAAGTGGAACGAATGAAATACACCGTATGGAATTTGATTTTCATTCTGATCAGTGCTCGTAAACGACAATCCGATGAAAAATATCTCGGCATCGATACCATGAATTGTATAATACTGTATTTATTACAAGAGAGAGTGAGAGAGAGAGTGTGTGAGAAAGAGAATATATAAAAAGGATCTCCGAAATGAATGATTCGTTTAATAACACATCGATAATAAATTATTATTATTATTATTAAATATCGAAAAACTAAATTATAAATTAGATCAACTTTTAGTTGCATCGAACTTGTATATAAACTTTGTATATAATATATAAATATATATATAGGTATATACATATATACATATAAATATATTATATAATAAATAAACACGTAGAGACGAAAAAAGAGAGAGAGAAAGAAAAATTACACACAAATACACACAGATACTTATACAAAATACACACTCAAACAGCAACACATTGTTTCCTCAAATGATTTTACGTATTAGACGAAATAAACTCGTTAATATCGTACGTGATTAGAATAAAAAAGAAAAGAAAAAAAAAGAAACTATTAAACAGATAGATGGGACACTGCAATATATACCTAATTATTGTTTTTAATTAGGGGAAAATAAAAAACAAATCTTGACGATATCGTTAAAGGCGTTACTTCGTGTTTGCAATCGGGGAAAATAAAAAGCGTTCGTGATTTTAATAATAATTTTAATGGCACGACGAATGAATGAGTGAGAAATAAAATAAATAAAAATGGAAATGAAAACGAGAGAGAGAGAGAGAGAGAGAGAAAGGAAAAGAATGAAAGTTAGAGGGAGAGAGAGAGAGAGAGAGAGAGAGAGAGAGAAATAAAATAAAATAAAATGAATCAATAATACGCGCGAGTTAACGTTCTTAATTACAGTGTATAGTAGAATCTAAATAAATGGAGACATCAATTAAAAGAAAAAAATAATAATTTCAAACCTGGATTTATATATTAACAAAAAAATAGAACATTTTTTTATCTTCGACTCTCGATTATACGTCAAATAAATATCTATGTCTGATAAGTTGAAAAGTTATCAAATTTGGTTAAAATTTTTTAAACGATTTAATAGATGTTTTGTTAAATGTAATTTTTTAAACATCGTTACAAAAAAAAGCTGGGAATATTGTTAATTAACTTAAGACTAAATTAAATTATTAAAATGCAATGTTTATTAATACATGTATGCAAATATAAAAGGGTGGGACAAAAATGATTAAAAAAGTTACAAAATTTTTGTTAGTAAATTTTTTTCAAATTTTAAAATTACAAATCTATTTTCTTTAACATTAAAAAAAAAAAAGTACATAAATGTACGATTAAATAAAATGTCTATTTAATTAGAAAAAGAATCAACTCCAGTGGACCGAAGAAATTTTCACGAGCGTAAGAAGTAAGTAAGTAAGTAAGTAAGTAAGTAAGTAAGTAAGTAAGTAAAGTAAAGTAAAGTAAAGTAAGAAAGAAAAGGAAGGAAGGAAGGAAGGAAGTTGGTTGGGTTTTGCATGGTGGGTACCAGTAAAGAAGGCAAAAGATGAAAAGGAATTATTCTCCAAAAATAGCGTGAACCTCCTAAACATCCTTCTCGGAATCTTTTTGAAGGCAGTTCGCGAGGTTTACCCGCGGGCGTAATTTATTAAGATGAAGTCATTTCGCTTTACCAACGTTGGATCGGTTCGTCCGAAGTCTGGCATCCGTCATAACCGAACATTCATCCATTCCATTTCGATAGAAGAGAAAATTTCTTCTCTTTAAACTACGCAAAAACGTATTCAAATTCACGCGAAATATAATATATTTTCAGAATTATTATTATTATTATTAATAATAATAATAATATTAATGATTAGAAATAAAGATTTTTTTTGTTGCTGCACGAAAAAAAAATGTAACACGTAGATATCATCATTTTTTTTTTGTTACTACAACTAAAATAAATATTTTTTTCTGTGCCTATGCATAAATACTCGATCATGATGCAAGATACACGCTAGTAGATAACACTAAGTACGAATATAAATATAGGTAATAGGTATATAAGTATAACTTACATATACGTTTCCTCTTACATAAAGAAACAAAGAATATTATCTAAACGTATATAAAAAAAAACGTAGCTTACTCGTATTACACTAAACCTATTTAATAAATAAATAAATAAATAAATAAATATATATATATATATATATATATATATATATATCAAAACGTTTCAAACGTTAATGAGTCTGAGTCTGTCATTAAGTTGTCGCTATTATCTCGACACTAAGCATACATAAGTAACTATATTTTCTTACTTAATAGCGACCTAGTTGATCAATGAACGATTTTAATTCATTTCAAAATCAAAACTACTTACATATTATAATTTGAAATTGCGTGTAAGTATAAACGATCATAATATAGTCTGATAATTTTCATCTTTTGTTCGAGAATTTTAAAAAGACTAGATGTGTATCAAGTTTGGAAGGTAAATCGATCGATCGATCGATCGATCGATCGAATGCAGAAGAAGAAAGAAAGAAAGAAAGAAAAAAAAGAAGAACATGAGAGAGAAGTAGAGGAACAAAAGAGAGAGAGAGAGAGAGAGAGGGAGAAAGAGTTTATTGCTTGGGCTGTTATCGAGAAGGGTCTCGTCGTATGAAGCGTATGAAGCGGTAAGCAAGGTAGCTCGAACCGCCCTGTAATTCGAGCGGCACAACGTCCAAATAAAGAATTCATAATGGCGATGATGAGCACCGGTAATTTTCTTCGATACATCGAAGATACATTGGTAACTCCCGAGAACCTTGCCGATCCAACCTATCTCTTTCTCTCTCTTCTGATATCTGTCTCCTTCTTACACATTCTTTTTTCTTGCTCATTCATTGTCCACGATGGAAGGAAGGTTAACTTGAAAGATCTCGTTCCATGCTTTCTTTCTTCCTTCATTTCTTCCTTTCCTTATTCCTTTCTTACTTTCTTTCTTTCTTTCTACCTTGCTTCTTTCTGATCGATCAAGCTTGGTTGCGTTGTTATCGAGCACACTTCAAGTCTCGTTCCAGTTTGATGGTCGATCGTTTAATAACGATCTATCGAACGACCTGTTAATATTTTTACTCGATCGGGCCCCTTGGCATACTGGCTATAGCTTCTACTTACTTACTTACTTATATATTATACTTGCTTCCTTTGCTTGCTTGCTTGCTTACCTTCGTTCAAACGGTTTCTTATTGTTCGAGCTAATTAGAAACGACACGCGAGGACCAAGTCATTCATTTGTCAAGTCGGAAATTACCAAAACCCTGTCCTTTTCTTTCTTTCATCTTTCTTCTCTTTATTTTGTATTTATTTATTTTTTTTTTTTGTAAATTTAAAAAATTTCTTTAAACGTTATTTTTTGACTCGGTGTTTCATAAAATTAATAAAATTAATTGTTTGCCATATGTGCGAATATTTTCTTTAGTGTAATTACATAATTTTGTTGATTTGCATTTTGTTAAATAAATCGTTAATATATTAAAATTTTTTTTTCATTATAATTAGTAATTTTTTGGTGATACAATTATTAAGATATTTTATTATAAATATGCGTTAAATATATTCACAAATATTGTTATTTATTCTCAACCATCTGTTTCTCTTTTTTTTTTTGGAAAGGGTGAAGGGGGAATTATTATTACGATCAGTGTTAATCATAAAACAACGAAAGTTAGTTATTTTGTTTATTAGTTGATTCGCTTTTTTAATGAATGCGTAATTACATTGTCAGCTTTGTTTTAATACGTTTGGCGAAGGTAACATTCATTTTTTACAAAGTCATTTTAACCGACGACAAGAACGTAGGCCAAAAAAGAGTAGCCCGAATGATGTTGATGTTGATGATGTTGATGATGATGATGATGATAATGCATCCTGATCCAAGAGCAAAACAACGGACGTCTGTACATTAAAAAAACGATCCTTTTTGCGTGTTTGAAAGACGATGCTTGGTGCTTAAATGAAGTGTGTAGGGCATTTCAAAATTCGAATCGATCTGTCGATGAATCTCACGAAGAAATAAATTTGCAACATTGTAACCAACGAGGACAATCCCCGTAAGGGACGTATAAAGTTTTTCGCGAGAATAATACGTTCCTCTTGTCTCGAAAAATTGACGAGGTTTAACTCGGTGCTGAACGAGAAAGAGAGAGAATAAAAAATGAAAACGAAAAAAATATAAACGAGATAAAAAGAATATGAGAAAATGAAAGAAGATTCGCTTCCTTAAAAAAAATGAGATACCTCCGAGCTATACGCGTCAAAGAAAATTACAACTTTTCGTCGACCCCCGTACAAGTTAACGAGATGTAACGAAATAAGCATTACGTCAAACGTTGAACAAAAATTCTACAATGTATGAAAACGGATTAAATTGGAAGAAGAAAAAAAGAACAAAAAATATGGTACCCATCAATTTTGTCTATTTTAAAAATTCACATTTATTTCACAT